GAATGTGCTCGTTGCTGGTCCTGTCCCTGGTCCCACAGAGGGGCCCCGAGAGCCAGGAGTAGCCCCCCGCAAAGATCCCGATGGCTGAGACCCCCGGGCGTGGGCTGGAGAGGGGTGCAGGGTCCCGCAGCCTCAGGCCTTCCTGGCCACTCCTGGCCGTCTCACTGGTGGAGGCCGCCGGGTCCAGGGTGACCAAGACTCGCTTCTCCCACCGAGTCTGGTTCTCAGCAGCATCACGTGGGGGTGTGGGGGCTCAGACACCCCGAGATCGGCCCTTTCAGTGCGAGTTGTCGCCTTAACGTGGAAATGAACAAAACCCAGGCGGGACGGCCAACACTGAGAGAGTGGGGCACGTGTCATACAGACACATGTGTGGCACAGTCATGTGCGTGACACGCTCATACAGACACATGCGTGCACATTCGTGTGACACGCTCAAACACATGCGCCAGCACAGCCATACACATGACATGCTCATACACACGCTTGCACAGTCATGCATGCGACACGCTCATACAGACACGCATCCACGCGCAGTCACGTGTGCAGTGTGGTCATGCACACGTGCACACGGCCATGCTTGCAACAGACACGCACATACGCACAATCAGGCCTGGAACACTCATACAGACACACGTGCACACGCAGCCATGTGTGTAACATGATCACATGCTGGCGCATGTGCACACAATCAGGGGTGTAATGTGCTCCTACAGAGACACACGTGTTCATGCAATCACACATGTAACACGCTCCTATACAGACATGTGTGCACATGGTCATGGGTGTAATATACTCTAACACAACAGGTGCACATGAACCGGGCATGTGCACACTCCTCTACAGACACATGTGCACACAATCATGCATGTAACATATACTCACATACAGACGTGTGCACACAATCAGGTATAGCACATGCTCATGGACACACGTGCACAGGATCAGGTGTGTGACACGCTCATATACAGACATGTATGTGCCCATTGTCGGTCTATAACGTGCTCACATGCAGACACACGTGTGCACACACAGTCATGCCGGTGCACCCTGGGGCCCACGCAGACACCCGTGTGCACAGCCATGTGTGTGTGGGCGTCACGGTGCCGACGCTGCCCCTTTTGCCTCCTCCCCCCTCCATGGCCCAATGAGGCGGGACCCTCAGGGTGGACATCCATGTCTCACCCGCCTCCTCCACCCTCAGGCTCAGTCGACACCCCCTGCCCCCCCATGCTGAGTCCAGTATGCAGGGCCCAATGTGGCCGGGAGGTCCAGGCTCCCTGGAGCCCCAAGGACCTGCAGTGCCCTGGGTGGGCTGCCTAGCCCCCCCCCAGCTGGAACCCACCCCGCGGGGGACACTGACAACGGCTCCTTCCCTGAGTGGCCTCGTGGCTGGGCCCAGGAGTCGCCCGCCCACCAGGGAAGCGTTTGCTACTCATAGGTTGGAGACGCGCTTCAGTGGCCTTCTGGTTCACTGGACAGACACACAGCGTGGTCACCGCCACGAGGCGAATCCATCCACTCTGCAGACATGGGGATATGGGGGGGGGGGGCTGCCGGCATCAGGTGCTCCTGCCGCCCGCTTCTGCTTTGATGCAGTTACCCAGCATCCCCCCACGGAAGGCCCTTCCCCCGGCTCCCTCGTTCCTGTGAGGTATTAAAGAGAGAGACTTTCAATCCTCCCCGCCCGGCCCTTCAGCGTGCGGGCGCCCGGGTGTCTCCGCCTGAAAAATGAAGATTAGAACCTGCCAGGGAAGTGGCTGCAATGGAGTGTCAAACGGTCGGGATTGAGTGGTCTCTCACGCGGCGCTCGGCAAATCGTGGTCGTGGCCGCCGTCCTTCTCTGCGTCCTCCTGACTCAGCTCAAAAACGGTCCCCCTGGCCATGTCCCCGCCGCCGCCGCTGGCCACGCTGGGCCATGTCCCTGGCCCCCGGCCCCTCCCATCCTCCTGCTTCGAGGCTGGCTGGGATGTTCGGGTCACAGTTACTGGGCGCTGGCTGGGATGTTCAGGCCACAGTTACTGGGCGCTGGCTGGGATGTTTGGGCCACAGTTACAGGGCTCAGGGGCTGACAGTGGAGAGACGGATGACCAGGGCCCTGGAAACAGGGAAATAGTGCCTGGTCTTCTGTGATGACCGGTAGCTCTGCACCGGGCCTTCTGCATTCTTTCTTTCTCTCTCTCTCTCTCTCTCTCTCTCTCTCTCTCTCTCTCTCTCACACACACACACACACACACAATACCTCTCCTTTTTTGGGGGGCGGGGGCACACCTTGCAGTGCTCAGGGCTTGTTTCTGGTTCTGCACCGGGGAATCCCTCCTGGCAGAGTCAGGGGGACCCTCCGGGGCGGGGGGTGGCGATTGAACACGGGTCGGCCTCATGCACGGCAAACGCCATCGTTGCCAAGACGCCGTTGTTCAGCCCCGTGGCACACTTCTCATTCCTTCCCGTTTCGGCCACCATCCTCGATTTCTCAGACACCCTGGGTTGTCTCTGCGTCCTCATAATCAGGCCACGAGCTTTCCTCGGGCACCAAGGCCTCGCTCAGTGATGGGGGGCTGCAGTCTTTCCACTCCCACCCCCTGTAGGTCGAGTCACAAAACCAGTTTACACGGGAGGGCACGGACTCGGACGCGGGCTGCTCTTAATGTCACCAGGCATCGGGATGGTCATTCTTTCTCTCTGTGGCATGCCCCCCGCCCCCGTTACTGGCGCCAAGGCGTTGGGTGGGCGTGCCATGAGCCTTTCCATCAGCGTCCCTATAGCCCCCCAAGCCGGTGGTCCCTCTCCTCTCTCCCGGGCCCTTGAGGTTGAAGGAGGTTGATGGAGGAACATCTCTTGCTGTGCAGAAGACCCACATGGGCGGCTGGCCGGGGTCTCTGGGTGGGACGGGCATCATGGGGGTGGGGGGAGGGTTACTTCATGCTTGGAGCACTTTCTCTGTCCCTGAGGGTGCCGCCAAGCTACTCGGCTCTTCCTGGAGAGGAGATGGGGCCTGGCGTCAGCATCTGGGGCAGGCTTTGGCTTCCGGCTCCTTCTCCTGTCTCCCTGTTTCTGGCCGTTCTCAGCCAGTCCCCTCAAGAGCCGTCTTGCCGGAAGGTGTCAGAACACCTGCTCTCATTCCGGCCGGCTGCAGGGCCTAGACCCCAGGCCTTGGGGCTACGTCTCGGCCCGGATGCCTCGTGTTGGGGGGTCCCTGCCCGCGCTCCCTGACCCGGCTCTGCCCCCCGTATGTCCAGGGGAAGTCATAATCCATAACTCACGGGCAAATCTCGGGGATTAAATAAAATAACTCCCGTAAATTACTTGGTACATAGTAGGGCATTCAATAAATGTCAGTTAGCTTCTTATCCCAGTTAATAATGGTTATTAGACTATATTAAAAACTAGAACCAGACTGTGATAATGCATTTCTTTATTAAGTATTTAAACCAAATAACTAATTTCCCCCCAGGGGGAAGAGAGAGATCTGTTGAATCGGTTTCGTTTGGTGAACTGATTTAGTCCTGCGCTCACTCTCTCCCTCTCTTTTTAAGCAGTTTTAGTTTCGTGATCCATAATTTACTTTTCACCACACAAATGCACACGTGCGCGTGCGCGCGCGAGCACACACACACACACACACACACACACACACACACAAACACACACACACTCTCTCTCTCACAGTCCAGGTCTTGCTGTGAACTCAGGCTCCTCTCAAGTCTGCGCTGGCATTTGCTGGTCCTGCAGATCATTGCTAATGCATGCCATCGGCCGCCCTATTGTGTTGCTGGGGCCCCCCAGGCCTGGGGTGGGGGTGTCTTGGGGGGGGTGTCTTGGCTGGGTGCCCTCAGAAGGGGGGCAGAGAGCTTTGGAGGGGGGGGGGTCGAGATCCGCTGGGGCCCGGGCCCACCCGTGAGCCTTTGCAGTCCCGGGGTGAGAGCTCTAGATTCGCCCCTGCGGAGCCCGGGCCCAATTAGGGTCCCTGGGCCAAGCGGCAGCGCCCCCCACCCCAAACCCAGCGCCGGGCGCGCGCGGGCCCCTTTAAGGAGCCGCCTCGGAGGCCCCGCCTCCCGCCGCTGATGGACAGCGCGCCGGGCGGGGCGGGGCGGGGCGGGGCTCCGGGAGGCCTGGGGGCGGGGCCCGGCGCCGAGCGGCCGGCGGGGGCGTGGCCGTGCGTGTCGCGGCTGGCCAATGGGAGGCGGGCGGGGCGGGGCTCCGGGAGGCGGGGGGGCGGGGCCCGGCGCCGAGCGGCCGGCGGGGGGCGTGGCCGTGCGCGTCGCGGCTGGCCAATGGGAGGCGGGCGGGGCGGGGCGTGCGCGCCCGCGGCCCCGCCCCGGCCGCAGCCCGGGCGCCCCTCCCCCTCCTCCTCCCCTCCCTCCTCCTCCTCCTCCCTCTCCTCCTCCTCCTCCTCCTCCCCCCGCACCTCGGGCTCCTCCCGCCCCCCTGCTCCAGCTCGGCGCCCCCCTCCCCCTCCCCTCCCCTCCCCCTCCCCCGTGCTCCCCGTGCTCCCCTCCCTCCTCCCCCGCGCCGCCGGCTGCGCCTTCTCCGGCGCGCGGGGCCCGAGTCCGGAGCGAAACAAAAGCCGGAGGCGGCCGGAGTTGGGGGCGCGGCGCGCGGCCTCCCTCCCCGCCGCAGCCCTGCCCGCGGGGGCGGGGGCAAAGTTTGCCCCGGCGCGCCCCAGCCCTGCGCCCCGCGCGTCCGCCCCGCGCGCCGGAGCCGGGACCCGGGAGCTCTCGGGGCAGGGGGAGGCAGGAGCGAGAATCCCGGGGAAAAGGGGGAAAAACCCAGCGAGCCAGCCCGGCGCCCCGCACCCCTCCCCGCGCGGCCGCCGCGGCAGAAGCTGCCTTTATTTCCCTGCTTTTCCTCTGTTTTTGCACGAAGGGGGAGTCCACGCCCGGCCCGCCGCCCCTGCGCCCCCTCCCCGCCCCTCCCCTGCCTCCCCCGCCCCCGGAGAGGCCGCGGGATTTTTTCCCCTTTTTCCACCTCTTTTGGTCCCTCTCTCCCCCCCGCCCCTCTCCCGCTCCCCCTCGGCCTGTTTACCCCGCGAGGGTCGCAGGCAGCCGGGAAGGCGCCGCCGGCGGGTCTGCAGCCCCGCGCCCAGCCCCTGCCCGCGCCGCCAGCCGCCCCGGGGCCCGCCGGGCGTTCCTGGAGATGGACGAGCAGCCCAGGCTGATGCATGCCCACGCCGGGGTGGGCATGGCCGGACACCCGGGCCTGGGCCAGCACTTGCCGGACGGGGCCGGGGGCGCGGAGGGGGAGGGCGGGAGGAAGCAGGACATCGGGGACATCCTGCAGCAGATCATGACCATCACGGACCAGAGTTTGGACGAGGCGCAGGCCAGGTGAGGGGCGCGCGCGCGCGGGGCGGGGGGCACGGCGCGGACAATGGGCCGCCGCGCCCGGGGGGCGGCCGCGGGGGCGCACGGGGGGACCCCCGGCCCGGGGCCAGCCGGCGATCGGGGCCCGCAAGTTGCAGGGCGGAGGCGGCCGGGCCGTTGTCCCGAGTGTGCGCGCCCGGGGCGCATTGTGCGCGCGCCTGTGTGTGCGCGGGGCGCGGGGTCCCCCCTCCCCGGAGCGGGCGCCCCCGGAGTCGCCCCTGCACAATGGTCAAGTTTGCGGCCGCCCTCCGCGCCCGGGCGCGGGCAGGGGCCGGGGGAGCCCCCCAAGGTTTGCAGACGAGCCGTCCCGACCGCGGCTGGCGGCGCCTCCAAGTTGATCCTTGCCGGGGGTCCATAGACTTGGAGGATTTTTTCTTCTCTCCTTTTTTTTTTTTTTTAATTTTTTCTCGCCTCCCACCAGAAGTGTGGCCTCTTCCCCTCCTTTCTCCTTCCCTCTTATTTCACTTTCTTGTTTTTGATTTGCAAAGCGAGGTTGCTAGCCACCCAGAAAATATGTTTTGCAATTTTTTTCCCAAAAAAAAAAAGGCAAATAGGAAGAAAGGACTGGGGTGATTTTGCACGCAAGCAGATTTGTTAGTTTTTTCCAAAAGACTTTAAATGTATTGTGTCTTCATGTGAGGGTGCTCGGGGCATAAGCTCCTTTTAAAAAGAGGGTGTATTTGTGTGTGTGTGTGTGTGTGTGTGTGTGTGTGTGTGTGTTGGGGAGGGGGTTACAAAAACCAGACCGCTTTCGGGATCGGTGAAGGACAGAGCTGGAGAGAAGTGAGTATGTGAGTGCGTGTGTGAATTTTGCATGCTCCGGTGCTTTAGCAGACAAGATAATACGGGCTTCTCAACTTCACGCACTTGGAACCATATCTCTTCCCACCGTAGGATTTGTACAGTGCGTGCTTTTAAAAAATAAAGCAGATTCCACTGACCACAGCAGCCACGAGCTCGCTTCGAGGCCCTCTCCAGAGGAAGAATGTTAAAAAAAAAAAAATCCTTAATAACCACAGTGCTGTGTAACCCACCACCCCCAGCTTTGTTCGACCTCAGACGTGATCAGGGATTTCAAAAATATAGCCAGCATTCCCGAGACCTCCAAGTGCTAGCAGGCCCATGGCGGGGTCTGAGGGAAGTAGGAATTTGAATTCGGGAAATCGAGCAGCTGTTAAAAAAACATGAACGTTAGCAATCACTTTTTTTTAGCACCAAGCGCAGGCAGCTTTGTGGAAACTCAGAAGTGCTGAGGTTTACGGAGGCTTGAAAACTTGGAAATATTCAGAGGCAGCAGCTGTTGTTGTTGTTGTTGTTGTTTTTTTTGGTTGGGGAGGGATATATATATATATTTTTTTTTAAATCGGGGAAACTTCCTAAATTAATCAGTTGCACGATTGAACGCTATTTATCTGTAGAGAGGAAGAGTGGGACCTCTCCACTGTTCGGAGCCCTTTTGGAATTGGGACAGATTTCTCCATTTCATTGTTCCAGAAAAATATACTCGGGCCAAGGAAGCGTTAGACTGTGTCTCAGCCCAAGTTTGCAAAGTGGAAAGGGTTGGCGAGTCTGGGCCTGGCTCCCTGCGCGGCTTATTCCGCTCCTTTTTTGCGAGACCCCAATGCACCCCAGGCGGCCAACTGTCCGGGCTCCGAGTGGCCTGGCTTTGGGGCTTTGGGGCTCGGGCAGGATTTTGGAAAAGGGACGTTTTGCTTTTCTCTAGAGCTTGGTGACCCATCGTGGAACTCCCGGGTTCCTGTAGCGCCGAGCAGGGCTATTGCTTTGTTTTGATGAAGCATCTGGGCCTATCCAGAAACACAATTCAGGGAAACTCTTTTCCAAGGCCTCTCCTGGACCCTGGGAACCAGCCTGGCCTTCTCCTACCCGGCCACTTTCTTCTCTTGTCCCGGCCAGGAGAACTGACCGGCTAAATGGAGAGCTTTGAAGTGAAACAATGTAACTCTGCTTGCAAATCCTCTTTCCGAGGCCCTGGTTACACTTTCCTGTAGTGCTTTAATTGTATACAAAGTAAAACCTTTTACCTTTTTTTTTAAGATACAATGTATCTGCTTCTTTTGACACAGTACTTCTTACCCGTAGAGAATCAGCCGCTGGTTTTTCTGTTCTTCACAAGGCTGTCTTCTTTCTCTCTTTCTTTCTTCCTTCCTTTCTTCCTCTTTCTTCCTTTTTCTTCCTTTCTTTCTCCCTCTTCCTTTCTCTCTTTCTTTTCTCCATTTTTTTTATTCTTTTACTTTCCAAGGGGAACTAAAAAAGGAGAACTGCATGGATCTTGAAGTGGGGGAAGCGTGTTTCCCATTTATCTTTCGGCATTAATTGTAGTTAGTAAACAGAATTCCCTTAATAGCTGATACGATCAGCATTTTATTTCCCAAAGAAAATCAGCCTGCTAAGTGCTTTCCCCGTGGTAAAAATCGAGGGAGAGGCATTGTTTTCCGGCCCTGGTGCCGGGACGAGAGGCACACGCCAGGACCAGGTAAATCACGGGGCTAAAAGGCAGAATCGTATTTATTTTTCCCCATTGGGTGCAAGGTCCTAATTGTAAATAATTGAATTTCAACACCTGCAAATAAGCGGTGCGTACGCGCACGGGGCTAAGTGGGAACAGAGAGAAATGAATTTATTTCCCCATATGGGTCCGCGCGTGCCCCCCGGCAATGCATTTCCATACTGTTTAACTGGGGGACAGAAATTTTATAAATTGACAGTTCCACTCAGAAGACCTTTCAAGCATCTTGTGTTTATGAGAAGACAGGGGCATCTGCGGAATGAATTCGAACACATGGAGGAATTAAATTTGGAAAAAAAAAAAAAAAAACGGAAACCCAGGCCGAGTGAGACAACGGGGGCCAGTGCCTGGATGAGACGAAAGTGTTGGTCCAGGGCTGGGCTTATTGTTTTAAGGATCCCACTTGGATGTTTTAGAAAGAGAGAGGGAGAGAGAGAGAGAGAGAGAGAGAGAGAGAGAGAGAGAGAGACCCACCGCTAGCTAATGGGTATAATTTAGGTTACTTCTGTTCTGTAGTTAAATTCCCTCCTCTCTTCCTCCCAATTAACATTATTTTCTTTCTATGGCGGGACGCTGTGTACGGAGCCATAAAACAATTGAAGCATGCTACAGAATTATGCCTGGTGTATGATTTTGGCTAAATGTTCAGATATCCGTCCCCTGCCCCCCCTGACGCCCCCCTTGCCGCCCCCCACCCCACCCCCACCTCCCCCACCGCCCTGCCTTATCAGCAGTTGGCTCAGGAAGGCACACCTAAGCTCGCCCGTTCTTTCTCCCTTGCAGAAAACACGCTTTGAACTGCCACCGAATGAAACCCGCCTTATTCAACGTGCTGTGTGAAATCAAAGAAAAAACAGGTAGGGGAGAGACTGCGGCCTCTCTCGTCTCCCTGGCTGTTTCTCTGTCTCTCTCTCTCTCTCTCTCTCTCTCTCTCTCTCTCTCGACCGGGCTGATTCGCTAGCAGCTGCGGGGCCATTTATTTAAATATTAAAATCTCAGAGCACAAGTGCGTGTCCTGGAGATGAATCACCTGGGCCGGGAAGGCCGCAGAACGACCCCGTGTCTCACGGAGTGTGTGTGTGTGTGTGGGGGGGGCTAAGCCAGCCGCTCCCCCTTTCCCAAGCTCCGACCCCAGGCTTTTGACTTTGGGGGAACACACATTGGAAGGGACATGTATAGAATAATGTGACTTAATGTGACTTGTGACTTGGTGTGCATGGTTGGTTTTTTTTTTTTTTTTTTTTGGTGGGGGGCGTATAGGAAGGCCCTGAAGGAAGCTATTGCGGCCCAGATTTCAAGTCTGATTGTGGTTTTATTTATTAATCTACGTACTCGGACCCGGCGGAGCGGAAGGGGACAGAAAGGGCTGGAAGTTTCCTTTCCTTTTTATTTTTTAGTTTGCCCTGTCGATTACACGGGCAAGCTTCTTCCTCATCACACACTCTGCCAGATGCCAGGTTCTCCGGGTTAAACCACCGGATGGCAGGTGAGCTGGGACAGTCTCAGCTGGGCAGTGAAGGGGGGGGTTTCCAGGTGCTCAGACCCCCCCCCCCCCAACATGCCAGCACACACCCGGCTGCCTCCTCGCTGGCCCTTCCGTGCACGGCTCCCACACCGGTGCAGGTCCCAGGGGGCTGTTTACATTTTTAAAGCAACAATTAAAAAATCGCCACCATCCACCAGGAATGTTTCCGGACGTTGGGCATCCTGAGGGCCTTCACTACTGAGTGAGCAGGGCGGCTGGCTTCCGAACTCGTGTGTATGGGTGTGTGTGTGTGTGTGTGTGTGTGTGTGTGTGTGTGTGTGCATGTGTGTGCTTAAGCAAAAGTGCCAGCCTGTTGAAGCCCAGAACCACCCTGAACCGCGTCACACGGGGACCCCAGGACAGGCCTAGGGCTCGGTTCTCCAGAGCCGGGGATCCCCCCTCCCCTTCCCTTCCCCGGCCCTCACCGGCCGGCGGGCTCAAGAGCCCCTTGCCAAGTGCCTGCCACGGACTTATTTATTTATTTTGCTACGACGAGGCGTGAAAGAGTCAATAATTCATATCTAAACCATAGAAGCAAGGGCATGACATGAATGAAAGTGACAATATATATGATTGCATGCCCGG